ACTTATCACATTGATCACTACGGGTATCAACAAATTTGCATGCTACATCTGAACATGTACTAGCTACATAACGATCTGTAAAAAAAACTTCAAATACATCAATATATAAAAAATTAGGAAAAAGTATGCAAGCAAATTCTATACCGTTGACATGTGTCACAATATAATTGTTCGATGTTATTATTAAAAATGAGATTTCGTTTATATAATTTTAAAAAATATCCTGAGCGATTCTAAAATAGATAGTCCAATGAATTATAAAGAACAGGTACTTTTCTTTCTAATATAAAAATCTTACTCAATTTGTTTTTGTGTTGAAATTCGTCCAAAAAACATTAAAGCCTAATTGAAACGATCTATTATTTTTTTTTTATGTAAATCAAAATATTTATCGCAAGTTAAGTGTTGTAGCTTTTCAGCTGACAATACCTTAAATTTAATATTAACAATGAAAAAATGAATAAGAAATTGTTTGATTTTATCGAGCAAGAAAACATCAATACTTATTAAAGATCCAATAAAAGAATATCAAAATGAGGTGCATCGTTGACATAAGATGAAGCACTTGTGATCATAATATTTCGAACATCAGGTTTTGATGTTCTATGAACAAAAAAATAATAATCAAACTGCTAGCGCACTTGGTGACGGATTAAACTGTGAAACATGATGTAGCTGCTGGTGCTAATCACAAGAAGATTGTTTTATTCAGTCTAATTTAAAAAGGATTTCTTCATCATTCTGTTACTTGATGCTCCAGAAATGCAATAAAGAAGTAATTAACTAGACGGTATTGGGACACAGTCTTTGATCGTATATTAACATGGCCTGTCATTGTCTCTGATAAAACAGAGAGAGGTGCAACTAAAAGAGTTCGTCATCAGGATTAGTAGGCTCGAAGATATTAACGTAACGACTTGAATGAAGATTTGTGAAAAAATCAAAATGTCCAAAACCAGATTTCTCGTACCTATTCGAAGGTTTTGAGAAAAATTCTTATTGTGTAGAGCGCAATGAGACGTCTCCGATCTCTCCATGAACTTCCTTCATCGAATTGTCTTTCGAACTCTCCGTAAATTGAAAACAGATCGATGAAGGAAGTACCTGGAGAGTTCGGTGACGTCCTATTTTGCTCTATCAAAGAAAAATTTTTTCGAAGATCTTAATTTCAGCAGTTCTGTTGAAGTCTTCGAATGTGCTACTGCTAATAGAGAATTGTTTTAGCTACACAAATGTTTTATATTTCAACAATAGATGAATCATTTCTTACATGTTTTTATTCGATTTTGATTTATTGAACGTCGATATTGCCTTTGATCATTGATCCAAATCTTTCTCAACTTCTTCTGGCGATCCATGAAAATCAATTTCTTCTATGGATGTCATTATCTGAAGAAAGGTTGTATAGAAAATATATTTTATTTTTATGTCATTTTATATTGTGATTTCAAAATAATATGATGCAATATAAAATATGAGTTATTCATTTATCGTAAAATTGCATTATTTTCTTCTTTCTATTATCAGTTCTTATTTTAGATTACATCTAATCAATACACATAGGACAAAAAAGATAACATACTACGATCCAAAATAGTATTCTACAAGATTATTCCGAAAACTTGGTTAATCATCGAAAAGAAACAAAAAATAATAATAACATGTCAAGTTTTCTGTTTTGAGTCAAAAAAAGATACTGATTTCTTTATCAGTTAATACATTCATTGTAAAAGTATAGAAATCAAATGGAAAAAACTAAAGGTAATATTCAACGAACTTACGTTCTTGAATGGATTGCATAAATAGCGAAGAATCCAAATGATGAACAGTTTTCATGAACAAATCCTAAAGAAAACAAATAGATGAATGAATTCGGAATTGAAAAAAATATTGTTAAATTCTTTTGGAAAATAGACCATATCAGTCAAAACAGAGCAAACAAAAATTCAATCTGAAGTAACGATATGCTTTTCGACTGAGACGATGTTCATTTGATGAGTAATAGAAAAGTTTAGAATAGTTTCGTTTTTCGGATCTTCGTTGTTACTCAACAAAAACCTGTAGTCCTACTCAGGTTACATGAAAAATCGACTTTCGAAATCAAATTTTGCATAAACATTAGATTAATTCTTTGGGCATGTTGTAATTTTTCTAGTTCTTTTTTTCTATCCTGAGATATTGAATAATCGAAATTTTTCTTTATTAACGAATCTCGTTAAGAACTTTGTTCAGGCAAAGTTTGAAGTCGAAATTCTATTTTGTAGATGACTTAAGGTGAATTACGTGTTTTTATGCTGAAACATCCAGTAAAATCTCGATATGTGAAGAACGAAGGTTCGGAACAACCATATTTCGTCAGTCAACTTTTCATATTCTCATCTGACGATTGTCCTTTGATAGATGGGAAAAGTTCGTGATAAGATTTTATTTAAAAATTGATCTCGTCTTTTTAACATCTAAACTAAAAAGTAAGAAAAATTTTGATGATGCCTTGAATAATGTTCGATGATCAATTGTGTTGAGGAATTATATTGAACATCTAATTATATCCTGCATTTGCAGATTGTGACAGTTCAAAATGAGGAAAAGGTTTCGCTTTTCTTCGAGAATAGCAAAACATTTGGAGTTCTTTTCTCGAAGAATACTAAGATTTTTCTTCAGATAAGTACCGAGTACTTTCTTGCATCAAAACTATTACACTAAATTTGGCATACAAATGACATTGAAGAAAAACGAAAGATTACCACAGATACTTTATATTAATTTTTCTGATACAGGTATTTATTTCAGCATGACTTCTATTGTAAAGTGTTATAATAAAATATTCCTTCCTGTTTTGGATATTTATTAGGGAAAACAATAAATTTCGAAAATAAGTGTTCATGAGTTATTTCTGATTCAAACTTTTTATAATATAAGTAGATGTTTGGAACAACTCCAAACTGAAATCGATACAAAAATTTCATTTGGCTCATTTTTTTCTTTTTCAACTCAAAACCTAACTTTATAACATGAAGTTAGTTCTATAGAATTCCTTATCTAATTATATATTTACATAGCAGAAAAACATCATCAATTTAAACAAGTTATGAATGATGAAAATATTGATTTTGTTTAGTACAAACATCAATTAATGCAAGGTTAATTCACCACTACATAAAGGAATAATTAGTGTCAAAGCTTTTGTATCCTACGTTATCTTGATAACTTTAGTGATGATTATTGAATTGTTCATCTATGAAATTTGTATTTGAGCTTCAATACAGTTAGTTTTTGAATTACTTTAAAAGTAATCCAGTTGAAGTCACTTTTATTTTCCTTGTAGCTACGCTTATTCAACCTAACAATAATTCTTATTTAGTTTATTTTTTCTCATGATTTAATATATCACTACAGTCAAAACAACGAAAAAAAAACACCAATCAGAATATTCAGTCACTGAACTATTTCATAAGTTTTTATAAAACAAACTTAAAATATTAATTATTCAAAATGTAATCAATATCAATAGATAGACAACAAGAAAGAATAAATAATGTGTTTGAAAGTTTTGACTTGATAGTAAATGAGATATCACGACGAGTTTCACTAGTAGATCAGAACTTTATGAGCATGCGCATTTTCGATTCGTTTCAGTTGTTAAATGAGTCAAAATTTTCTAAATATTTTTAGTTTAATTATGAAAAACTCTCATTTGAAATACTTGTCTTGATCATACGCTCATTTGTTTACTTGAATCGAAACTATTCGACCATTCCTGTTCTAATAAATGAATTGAACAATTAATTTTTTTTTTGTTAAATGTTTATTAGATTCTAAATTAAATAAAAAAAGTTCCACTTACTCGTTTCTTTGCTTTATGAAGACCACTAAAATTTAAAGATACAGGGTGGCCCATAAGTCAGGTAACCGAGAAAAAATTGAATATCTCCATTACAACTCGAGGAAACGACCTGATTTTTTTACCATCCATAAAGGCATGTTCAAGCTTTATATCCATAAAGACAAGCCTAGAGAGATTCTTTATTAAGTATCACTATTGATCTGAATAAAAAAAATTTACTTTTTCAAAGATAGGAAAAAAACAATTTACTTAACAAAGGGTTTCTCTAGACATGTCGTTATGGATATAAAGCTTGAACATGCCTTTATCATTGGTAAAAAAATCAGTTCGTTTGCTCGAGCCGTAATGGAGATATTCAATTTTTTTTTTCGATGAAGTGACTTTTGCACCATCCTGTGTATTGTTTTTTCCAATCTGTGAAAAAGTAAAATTTTTTTATTCAGATCAATAGTGATACTTAATAAAGAATCTCTCTAGGCTTGTCTTTATGGATATAAAGCTTGAACATGCGTTTATGGATGGTAAAAAAATCAGGTCGTTTCCTCGAGTCGTAATGGAGATATTCAATTTTTTCTCGGTTACCTGACTTATGGGCCACCCTGTATAATAAGTGAAGACTAAAATAAAAATTGAATATTACAGTTTTTTTTAAGTTACTTTATCAATTAAATATTGATCAACCGAAAATTGCTTTAGTTAACTGATAAAATTCATCGGTTTTATTATTTTCATGATGTTGAAATCAATGATAATGATGAAGATACATGTATGACCATCAATTGAACAAAGTATTCCAAACTGTTCAGTTTCTTCAATTAGAAAAATTTTTATTTAAATAAAAAATAGAGATTGTGTCAATGCAACTCATTGAAGATTATAAAGTAAAACTTACATGTATTCTTTAGTCTCATCATACTCATACAACATACTTGAAATGATAAATTTCTACCAGACTATGAGGGATCAAGAGAAATCCAATTTTAGTCAATTTTGCTTTTAAAGTTACTATGATTTTCATATGTTTTCATTTTTGAATCTCTTAACTTCTTTTGGATGAGTTTGCTTCGCGATTCTCGAAAAGGATGTGGGTACTGGTATAGGGAAAACTATTCCAGAATTGAATCTTATCATATCTAAAAACGTCTTCAGTATTTTTTTTTATTTATACGCTTAAAGTCGTAGAATATTTAACTATAACTTTCAGTTGCAGTTGGAACTACCGGTTTTTCTCATAGTTGCTACTATTAAAGTGAAAGTCTATAATGACCATATTCATAAATGATCACCAACAAGATGCCTTGAGAAAATGTGAAATAAATTCTAATGAGAATATTATGAATACGAATCTGACAAACTTCTAAATTTTCATCTCACCTATCTTTAAAACTTACATTCACTCTATTTTTCTTCAAAAAAGATGTGAGTTCCACAAAAAAAACAAAAACAAAAACAATCAATAATAGTATCATCAATTGTTAATAATAATGGATTAATATCAAATAAACTTTGATATCTCTTCATATGTTCAAGACAATCGAAGAAAAGAATACCGAATTAAATGTGTTCGTATTATTGTTAATTCTTGTGAAAGTTCAATAAATTAAAATTTTTCTATATAATCACGATATGCATCAAGGAATTCTGACTAAAATTTAACAACAATATACTTAATACTGTCGAAATCGTTTTCTTACTCGACAATTATCAATACGGTTAATCCACTGAATTAATTAATAATTGATAATCAATATATGCTGTTGATATAGATTTAAGTAAACGTTGAATAGGTCATATCATGATAATGCAACAAAATATTGTTTACCTAATTGAGTTTTATGTTTACGAATCTATTTGAAAATAGTTTTTATTTTGTTACATTATCTATTCAATGAAATAAAATTACCTTATGATAAGTATAACAACGAGTATTCATTTTTTTAAAATCTAATGTATGAATCAAATCCATTATTTTAGCATAAATTTTTCTAAAATCTATTAGAAAAAAATAGTTCATTCGAAAATGAAGAACAGTGTCCGGCAATTTAGTACGAGAAGAATTTCATTATAGTCTACGAAAACTGAAATACGTCAAAGGTATCAAATCTCGTTACACTCGATAATTTTTTTCTAATGATTTTATTCGACTGATAAACAAGCAGAAAAAAATTTATGCATTCATTTTGAAAACTATTGTTTAATTGCTGAGAAGCGAGTTCGTATTCAGACTTTGCTATCGTATCGAACAATCAAATAATGCTTGTAGAAAAAGTATACATAGATTTTTTTCTTAAGTATATGACGAGTAAAAATCTTGGAAAAATATCGAGTCTGTTGGTACTTAATCATTTTATGATGTTTTTTTTTGCAAATATAGTTTTTGCGACAATAACATTGTTCAAGTCTATTAACAACAGAATATTTTCACAAGTAACTCAACAGACGCTATAATTTTTTTTAAACTAATGCATTGAATAATTATCTTACTTGAATAATATTTAATAACATTGTAAAATTAATATTAATTTTCATTCGATTTCTCTTATATTCCATTCCAATTAAATACTAATTATATATGTTAATATTTTGTTCTTTATAACAATATTTTCATCTAATACATACTCATTTTAATAGTTGTATTGAATAATAAATCAAATAATGGACTATTAATCATATGTTGATGATGAAAATAATAATAATAAAGAAATCTGACGATGTTGTTGTTTAATTACTAATTAAATTAATTGTACACATGGATTTATCAACATTATTCATTAAACATAAAATTCTCCAAATCACTAAAAACATTACCATATATACATTTTTTAATCTTTTTTCTTTATTGATTAATACATACTTGTACATGAATAACAAATTGTTGATCTTGATGTCGATATAAATAAATTTTTATTGAAAAGAAGAATATTTCTTGTTTCATTCTTTTCTGTTGTAATAAATCCACCTAACAAAGAAAGATTTTTTCAAACTTCTGTAATGGATTATTTTGATCTAAAATTTTGTTGATATTTAGATATCTTCATCCAAAAAGTATATTATTGTAAAAATTTAAGTGTTTAAAAACTTCCATTGGTTTGTTTTTTTCGACAGTCTATGGAATTGAATCAACTTTTTAACATTAAGTATGTCTACTTAAGTAATAGTTTGTCTGATGTAATATATTTTGTATTTTATCATAACAAATAAAATAATTATACATAAATGTTGTTATTGATTATCATTAATAAAAATAAACAAAACAATTTCATTTTCATTCCAAATGAGATACAATCTAAAAAAATTCATAAGTAAATCATTATGTGTGTTAATGTTAACAAGAGAGAAAGGAAAGAAAAAAGAAATATATATGAAGAGAGGAATTTTTTTTTCTTTTTTGTCTTTCTCTCGTCCATAAATCATTGTTCATGTTGTTATCATTGACGATCAATGATCAACATATACAATTAAATATGTATATCATTTTCGACGAGAGAAAAAAATGATTTTTCAAGGTATATATACGAATGATTTTCTATGTAAAATCATTCAAATTTTTGAATCAAATAATAATAATTTTTCTGTTTTAGATTGGCCTCGATGATACAAAATTAATCAATTCAACAACAAACCAGACAATAAAGTGAAATGTAGGTATTAGTTTTACTTTTTTTTTCTTTTTTTTTCTTTTACGATCATAAGGATGGTGGGGTGAGACCTCCTTTGATCTTTTTATTATTTTTTATTTTATTTTAAGGAATAAACAATGAAGTAAAAGATAACATTAGGGTAAGTCATCTCATTCTATTTCATTAAATAACATTGATTAAATTTTTTTTTCTGTTCCTTTCAGCTATCAATATCATCGCGTCATCAACATCAGACACGTTAAGTAATTTTTTTTTTGAGATGAGAATAGGTAGTGAGATTGAGGGGTTAGGGTGAGACTAAGAAAAGTGAGTGTTAGTAGGGGAGGGGTGAGTTATGTTCGTTGAGGTTAGGTTCTTCTTCTTTACAGGACTTCCGGGCAGTCCCTAAAAGCCCGGCCAGGAACTGTCTTGGTGTCCGTGGCACACGACCAGGCTTATTCAGACTCATTGACATATCTCTCGCGGGAAGGATATGAATGATATGAGTCTGTCCTGTGCGTGCATGAGCGTTACGCTCGCCACGGCTCCACTCGGATGGTTCCTGGTCGCGCCCGCGCGAATAGAATAGACATTCATTTCATCAATCCAATGCGATTTATTTGAAACGAAAGGAACGCAAAAAAAAAATCTGTCACGACAAGTCTATTCGATTGAAAAGCGTTGAACACGATAATTCCGCTGATCAGCGACATAAAGATTGCCATGTAGATCGAAGGACAAATCGATGGGACCGTTGAACTGATTTTTTCCTTTTCCTTCACCATTTCCACCCACAATGACAGTGCCCTGTTTCGCTCCTTTAAACCAACGCATCACTCGATTATTCCCCGAGTCTGCTACATAGATGGTACCCAACGTATCGACGAACAGTCCGTTAGGATACGACAATTGTGTCAGAGCATTCCCTTGGCCTTGACCTCCAGCGACGACAATTCCTTCTTTTGCACCTTTATTCCATTTCATTACACGATGATTGTTGTAGTCTGACACGTAGACAGTCTGTTGTTGATCGACAAAGATGTAGGTCGGCTCGTTGAGTTGATTGAGACCAGCACCTTGGCCATTGCCACCAGCCACAATAGTTCCATTCTTGTCTCCTATTTGATATCGTCTTACTTCATGTTTCTTGTAGTCAGAGATGTAGAGATATCTCTGATCATCCAAGGCCAATCCATAAGGATCGATGTTATTGATGAGGATTTCTCCTTGAGTTGTACCACTACGACGAGACCATCGTACGACTCGTCCAGTGTCGCAAATAATGAGACTATCCGTCTCTTTGTCGATCAACACATCGGTTGGTTCATGCAATTGATCCAATCGATTTCCTTGGCCATTGCCACCAGCTACTACTTGTCCATTCGTATCACCCATCTTCCATTGCATGATACGATGATTGTAGTAGTCAGCAATGACTATCGTTTGATCATCATCAACAAAGATTCCGAAAGGCCCGTTGAGTTGATTGGTGCCACCACCCTCTCCATGGTCTCCAGCAACAGTCACTCCTTTCTGTGCCCATCGGGCATCGGCTGGAATAATGGGAATTACTACAATGAACCAAAAAGAAAAGAAATCGTCGTTATCGAAAGGATGTCGTCTCTCGTGAAAGCAAGCGCTAGAAATATGACATTCGTCTTTGGAAATGCTCATTCTGCAGATAAAAATTCAGAAGTCTTTTCCTAGTTTCTTATGAGAAAAAAAGATTTCGTAAGGATTCTTACATTTATGTTACTTCTAGTTTTTGCCAAGATCTTTTTGATTCTAAAAACAACACCTTGAGATTGCTGTAAGGAGATTCTCCAAGAAAGAGTAATACTAATTCCATGTAAGTTTTTGATAGAAAAACATAAGGATCTGAGGATTTTATTCAGAATTGCAAGAATTCAGAATCTTTTTGGCAGAATGATCATTTATATGAACATCAGAGAAGATTCTATCTGCATCTTGTGAGAAGAATATCGAATCGTTGAACAGCAAAATACCAAACTTAATCCCTATGTTTTTTAGGAAACCTTAAGGATACATGATTTTCTGTATGATGAATGTAGATCTGCCGAAGAATCTCCTAAGTATTTGCATAGAGAATGCCGGTGAAATTTTATAAGGCTTTTGATAAGTTATATGAAGCTGTTCGAAGAACAACCGTGATGTACTCTGAGTAAGATCATGAGAAGGCTTGGATACAGGCGAAATTGAACAAAGTTGAGAGGATTCCACACGAATTTATGTAATCTGAGAGGGCTTCTACTTTTGCAAATGCTGAAAAGATGGATGTCAATCCGAACGGAGCTCTCCAGTGACAAACATTGAGATCTATGCATTTTATGGGCTTTGAAAAGAAAGTGTTCTAAAATGCTATTTTTAACTTTTGATGAACACCATCTTCAAACCATTGTATTAGGGTCCTCAAAGAGAATCTTGATGACTAAATAAGATACTCTGTCAAAATCTGAAAATATAAAAATAATGAGTATCTTCTATGAGGATCATGCTGTAATCCTTATGTAGTTCTTATTCTGAGAACCCTTCTGTAAGCTCGCATGTTATGGATATGTTCATGAGGATCTGAAGAGTAAGTGTTTTGAAATGGTTGATATCAGAGTGAAAATGGAGTAGGAACAGGACAGAAGGGTGGGTGGGGTGTGGGTGTGGGTGTGGGTGTGGGGGTGTGGGTGGGTGTGGGTGTGGGGGTCTGGGTGGGTGTGGGTGTGGGTGTGGGTGTGGGTGTCTTTTGTATATAGATTGGCCCACACCCACACCCACACCCTAATATAGAGAATAATATATTATTTAACATTTATACTACTATATGCTTAGGCATCTATTTGTATTTTCTTTATAGCGAATATATAGAAAATAATTTTTTATCTGTTATTGTCCCATATTGATAATGAAAGGTAATTTATTTTATTTGTCATCTTTCTCTATAGAGTAAGCGGTAGTAAAAGTAGAAGACAATGCAATGGTTCTCAGCAAAATGACTATAACTTTTTTAGTGTTTTTTTTAAAATTTTCTTCATAAAACACTTACCTTCTACCATACTCTATCGTTTGGTAAAAAACTTTTCTCAAAATCTTATAAGCACACCTATTTACAAGGTGTTCTTTGAACAGTAATTTTCGATTATACATTTACCCGGTTTAGATAAAATGTATAATCTCGCTGATGTCATTGGGAGAATGTATAATCCCAGATATTTTTGATATATTTTTTAAATCCTAATTTTTCAACGATTGGCACTTATTTTTTTTGGGGTATGGGTGTGGGTGTACTCCATGCGAAGACAGTACCCGCGCCCACTCAC